GGGGCCCCATATGGCGTGGGCCCCGGCGGCTCTGCAACGTCGCGGGGACCCTGGCGCCGGAGCCCTGGCGCGCCCGGGCCTCAGCGCGCCTCCCCCATGGGGGCCCGGGGCGCTGCCGTCGAAGACGACGCCTATATAGGGCGAGCCACCGCCTGCAACGTCGCGGGGACCCTGGCGCCGGAGCCCTGGCGCGCCCGGGCCTCAGCGCGCCTCCCCCATGGGGGCCCGGGGCGCTGCCGTCGAAGACGACGCCTATATAGGGCGAGCCACCGCCCTCCGGAAGCGACCGCCCCGAGGTCCGGGCGTTGCGTTTTTTGTTTATTTATATATAATAAGAATCATACTACTACTACTACTACTACTACTCCTACTACTACTACTACTACTACTACTACTACTACTACTACTACTACTACTACTACTACTACTACTACTACTATTACTAATAATGATAATAATACTAATAGTAGTAATAATAAGAATGATAATAATAATAATGATAATAATAATAATACTAATAAGTAATAATAATAATAGCATCAATAATAATAGTAATACTAATAATAATAATAATAATGATAATAACGCCCTCGCCTAGCTTCGGGCCCTGGGACTCTCACATGGGGGAGCAAGAAGTGGCGTAATCAGAAGAACTCGGAGGTCCGCGCGGACTGCTCGGATCGGCGCCGGGCCCCCCCGGCGGCGCCTTCGGCGCCGCCCCTGGCGCGCTCCGCGCGCCAGGGAGGGGGGTCCAGCGCGGATCCGAGAGATCCGCGAGGACCTCCGAGTTGGTATGTTTGTGCCACTTTCTGTTCCCCGTATTTTGGGGCGCCCTCGTCTAGCTTCGGGCCCTGGGAGCCTCACATATCGATCCAGCTCCCAGAGTGACGCAGAAGGATCGGGTCCGGAGCTCCACTGGTGAGGTTTGCTGCGATGGTGGAGTTCTGCAGCGTCGGATCACAGGGAGCGCGGGGCCAAACGTTGGGCCATGACTCGGCCGAGCTAGTGGACTACAGGCTCACCCAGCCAGGATGGAAGCCCTTCGAGGAACATTCTTTTGGGGGGGAGGGGGGACATTTTGGGGAGGAACGGGGAACATGTTGGGGAGGAAAGGGGAGCATTTTGAGGAGGAGAGTGAAAAACATTTTGGGGAGGAAAGGGGGGGAAGATCAGGGGAGCCAGGGCTCAGGCACTGCACAGGAGCTTCCCAGGAGCTCCCCAGGAGCCCTCCCGGGGAAGGAAGGTCTACCCCAGGCCTACCCCACAGGGGCTACCCCTAGGGCTACCCTGGGCCTACCCCTAGGGCCTCCTCCTAGGGCCTTCCCCTAAGGCTCCCCTAGGCCTACCCCCACGGCCCGCCCCTAGGGCTACCCTACGCCTACCCCATAGGGCCTACCAGGCGGGGGGGGGGGGGGCCCGAGGGGAGGTGCACGAGGGGGGCGGGCGTTCCCCAGGAGGGCCCCACGTCGCCGCCGTCGTCGTCGTCGTCGCCGTCGATCACAGTTGTTCTGTTCTTTCTGGGTTTTTTGCGTGCGGCCCCCTAAAAGGGCACGGCTCGGCCCAATTGGGCAGTCAGAAATCGAACCTGGGATGGAAGTTGTTGCAATGGACACCACAAGAAAAACGGTCGGGGGAACGACTTTGAGCGGGTCGTCGTCGTCGTCGTCGTCGTCGACGTCATCGTCGTCGTCGTCGTCGTCGACAACGTCGTCGTCGTCGGAAGGGCCGTCGTCGTCGGCGTCGTCGTCGTCGTTGCCGTCGTCGTCGTCGGAGGCGCCGTCGTCGTCGTCGTTGTCGTCGTCGTTGTTGGCGGCGGCGGCGGCGGCAGCGGCAGCGGCGGCGTCGTTCGTCGTCCCTGGTGTGGGGTTTACGAGGATGGTCCCCAGGGGGAGTCCCTCGTCGGCGTCGTTGGCGTCGGCGTCGTCGTCGTCGTCGTCATCGTCGCCTCCGTCTGTCCGATGGTTTCCGGGTCCGGCCCCCAGGGCCGTTGCTCGGAATTGCTGAAAAAAAGAAAGCATCGGGGACCGATTGTGGGCGGACCGTCGTCGTCGCCGTCGTCATCCTTCGCCTCCTCGTCCTGGTCCTTCGGCTCGGCCGGCCCGCGCGCCGGCACGGCTCGGTCGGATGGGGGAGGAGACGAGGACGGCGTCAAAGCAAAGAGGACGGGTGGGGAGGACGCCGACGTCGCCGCCGCCGTCGACGCCGCCGCCGTTGCCGCCGTCGCATACCTTCATGTCCCGCCCGCCCGACCCGACCCGCCTGACACGCGTGCCCGCGGTCCACGCAAAGGGTGATGCACCACAACATGCTATGCGCGCCCGCCCGACCCGACCCGCGTCGCCGGGGAGGCGCTACCCGACCATCACGAGTGCTCGCGTGCCAGGCATGTGATGGTGAACCACATCATACTTGAATGTCCCACCCGCCCGACTCAGCCCGCCCGCCACGGGCGCCCGCGTGCCAGGCAAACGTCGATGCGACACAGCATACTTTATTGTCGCGCCCGCCCGACGAGGCCCGCCGGCTGACGCGCGACCCACCTGGCACGGGTGCCCGTGTGCCAGGCAAATGTTGATGAACAAAAATGTACCTGAATGTCCCGCCCGCCCGACCCGACCCGCCCGCCAGACCCGCGACCCGCCCGTCCCAGCAGTTCGCCTGCCATGCATGGGATGGTGCACCAGAACATTTTTTCATGTCCCGCCCGTTCCCCCCGCCCCGGTCCGCCCGCCACGGGCGCCCGCGTGCCAGACAAGGGGTGATGCACCACAGCACACCTTACAATGTCCCGTCCGCCCGACCCGACCCGCGCCGCCACGGACGCGCTACCCACCCGTCACGAGTGCTCGCGTGCCGGGCATTTCATGATGCACCACAAGATTTTCGCCTGTCCTGCCCGCCCGACCCGGCCCGCCCGCCACGGGCGCCCGCGTGCCAGGCAAACGGTGACGCGACACGGCATGATGTCCCGCTCGCCCAGTCCAGCCCGCCTGCCTTGGGCCCTCACGGGCCCCCCTCTTTCTGCGATCGAGGAGGGCGGCAGGAGGGAGGAGGAGGAGGGGGAGGAGGAGGCGAAGGAAAAGGAGGAGGAAGCAGGAGGATGGGGGACAAGGGGGAGGAGGAAGAGGGAGAAGAGGAGGAGGAGGAGGAGGAGGAGGAGGAGGAGGAGGAGGAGGAGGAGGACGAGCTTCGGGGTGGATGAGGGGGAGGAGGAGAAGGAGGAGGGGGAAGCGGTGGAGCTTTGGGTTGAAGGAGGGGACGGAGGAGGAGGCCCCTGGGGTACCCCTATGCCCTATGGCCTACCCCTAGGGCTACCCAAGGGCGAGGGCCTAACCCTAGGGCCACCCTAATTAGGGCCTGCTGTAGGCCCCACCCTTGGCAAGCCTAGGGTCTTCAGTAAGCCTACCCTCGCCAACCCTAGGGCCTTCAGTAGACCCTACCTTCGGCAAGCCTTGGGTCTTCAGTAGGCCCTACCTTGTGCAACCCAAGGTCCTTCCGTAGGCCCTACACTAGGCAAGTCTACGGTCTTCAGTAGGCCCGAGGGTAGCCTAGGCCCTCCGGGGTCTATACCGTCGCAGTATTTCCCAGACCCCTCCAAAAGCCTCCCAGGAGCTTCCCACTAGCCTCCGGGGGCTTTCAGAAGCAGCGAGACAGTGTGGCATTTTCAGCGGCCGCCTCCTGAGAGCCAGCGAAGGCTCCCCTGGACCTCGCGAAAGCCAGCCCCGGGGACTGGGTCAGGGCTCCTATAGTCGGGGCCCACGCAGCGTGGTCGGCGCTGACGGGGGTAAGTTAGCCAGCCCCCTCTGGCTGCCCCGGGCTTGAGAGCCACGCTGGGCCGATTCCCGGTTGCCGCCAGCTGTGGGAGCTACTCGGCCGCCGGCCGGACTTCGCCACGATGCCCTGGCCAACCCGGGGTATGTGTTGACCTGGGGGAGTGCGTCCCCGACTTGGGGTCCACGCTGCGAGAACGAGCACGACGCAGGATCATCGAGGGCAAAAGAACTCCTCACCCGAATCTCACGATGAAGACGTGGCCTCACTGAGGTCCCCCTCTTCGCATCAGGGAAAAACATTCTGGGCGGTTTGGTCTGGTACATCTGCGGAGCCAAAAAAACAATCCCCTGTGTGTGTGTGTGTGTGTTGGCCCTCCTAAGCCCCTCCCAAAAGGTTACGGGTCCTTTTCCTAGAAGAAGACGACAACACATAAACATGAACCTTTGGCGCTCCACGCGGATTTCTGGGATCCGCGCCGGACCCCGCCTCCCTGGCGCGCGGAGCGCGCCAGGGGCGGCGCCGGAGGCGCCGCCAGGGAGGCCCAGCGCGGATCCGAGCAATCCGCGCGGAGCGCCAAAAGTTTATGTGTGTGTGTGTTCTCCTTGCAGTTTCGGCTAGTCGGCAGGCGAGGCTTGTAGGGGGCCGCGCGCGAACCCTACCCCTACCCCCGCGACTTCGGAGGGGCAGGCTGGGGTCCACTTCGCTCGGGAGCTCCCGAGCGAAGTGAACCCCACCCCTCCCCCTCCCTCACGTGGCCCCTGATGGGCGGGGAGGAGGAGGAGAAAGATTTGGCTCTTCTTCAAGAAACGCCCTGGGCACCCGTCGACGCCTCGGCGCACCCGCCCCCCCCAGGCGCGGAGCCCACACCGCCGCCGTGAAACTGGCCGAGCGCGACATGGCGGAGCGCAAGGCCAGGTTCCAGCAGTGGGTCGCCAAGCAAGCTGTGGGCGGTGGCGGCGGGCTCCACGCGGTGGCTAGCTTGCCGATCGGCTTCGCGGAGAGCCCCATGCTGCACACCAGCACCGCGGAGACGCACGCGCCCTTCTGCGAGCCCGCCGACCTCGCCGCGGAGGTCACTGCCCTGGAGGTTGCCTGGAGCGGATGGTGGAGGACAACATGCGAGCAGGTGTCGCTGCGCTGGCCGAAGGACCTTGGCGCGCGGCCGCCTCGGCCGACGGTGGCGCAGCTGCGGAAGGTGCTCTTGACTTTCCCCGCCAACACGGGCACCTCCTTCTGCGCGGTGCGGCCCAGGCAGCTCAACGATCTCTGCGACGACGGGATCGAGGTTCTCGCTGACATCATCGAGGCAATCGAGCTCCACGCGTCCTGGCCTGAGATGACCACCAAGATCTGCTTCATCCAGAAGAGGCTTGGTGGGGTCAGACCGATCGCGCTGATCATGGTGCTGGCCCGTGTGCAAGCTCGGCCGCGTCGTGACATCGCACGCGGATGGGAGATGCAGAATGCGCGCAGCTACTGGTGGGCCTCGGCGGGGCGCAGCTGCGAGCGAGCGGTCTGGCACCAGGCTGCCATTGGCGAGTGGGCCACGCAGCGTGGACATGACTGCGGCGACGAGAAGCGCTGGGTGGCGGCGGCCGCCCTGCTCGACCTGCTGAAGGCCTTCGAGCAGGTCGGGCACCACTGGTTGCTGGACGCCGCGGTGCGCACTGGCTTCCCGTTGTGGCAGCTCAAGCTTCAGGTGGAGCTTTACTGCGCGCCTAGGGTGCTCGCCCTGGGCAGCGCGCACTCCGACGTGATCGAGGTTCGGCAGGCGATCCTGCCAGGAGACGGTTTCGCCACCACCCTGCTCAAGCTGATGCTGATCGGGCCGCTGGACAGGCTGGTCGAGCAGCGCCCGACGTTGCAGCTGGCGGCGGTCGTGGATGACCTCATGCTGCACAGGTTCGGCGGCGCAGTACGCGTCGCGAAGGAGGGGGCGGAGGCGGCCTTCAAGCTCAAGACGCTCTTGGCGGAGGTCGACCTCAACGTGGCGCTCTCCAATTCCCGTGTGCTCGCCAACGTGCCCGACGTCAGGCACGCCGTCGCTGCGAAGCTCAAGCGGCCGCTCGGCATGGTGTCGGTCAAGGTCGAGCGCAATCTTGGAGTCGACTTCTCTTGCGGCCGCAGGGTTGCGAGGAACGTCCGCGGCGACAAGATGGTGCTCGCGGGGTTGATGCTCAGGCGCGCGGCCATCTTGAAGACTGGGGTCGGGCGCAAGCTGGCTGTCCGCAAGGTGGCGCGCAGCGGGCTCGAGGCGCCCGTATCCAACGGCTTCTCCGTCACGGGCTGCGCCGCCACGGAGCTCGACAAGCTGCGCACGCTCATCTTCACGGCCGTGGCGCCGAGCGTGGCGGGGCGGTCGCGGGCCCTCACGCTCATGATCACGCCCTTCCTCGACCCTGTCTACCGCGCGACGCTGGCCCCAGTGATGGCGATGCTGCGCGCGGTCTGGGAGCGCTGGGTGCCGAAGCATGTGCTCAAGTATGGCCTGGCCCAGTGTGCGGCCACTAGCTGGTGCCAGGTGAAGGGGCCCTTCTCCGCGGTCAGGCTCTCCCTAGAGCGGTTGGGCTGGCAGATTGTTGACGGCAGCAACTGGCTCACGCACTGCGGCGACAGCATATGCATCTTCGAGACCTCGCCCTGGGTCGTCAAGCGCCTGCTCTGGATGGCGGTGGGGGCGTGGCAGTGGCGACAGGTCGGGCAGCGGCCTGGGCTCGCCCATCTGGCTGATGGGGGCATCCTCGAGCCCATCGTCAGGCTCACCAACGCGGGGGCGGTGCAGCGCAAGGGCTTCTTCGGCCGACAGGTGAACTACGTCGACGGTGATGCTGGCGCCGCCGCTCCTCGGCCTGTCGGTCGACCTGCTGTGCCTCCTGAGGTCGCGGCGCTGCCGTCGGGAGAGGAGGCAACTCGTGGCGGTGTCGCGCGGCATGGTGCTGTGGCTGGCTCTGCTGCGGGCGGCCTTTCAGGCCCAGCTCTGTCCAGCGCGCTCGGGCCTGGCTACCTGACCGCGGTGGAGGCTAGCGCCGCTACCCTACAAGCTGCGCGCGCTGAAGCTGGAGACGGATGGGGTGACCTCATCAACGACCTGCCCGGCCAGGTGGCGCCTGACCCCCCGCTGCGGCCAGACCCAGAAGGCGGAGCACCGCTCGGACCTGGGCTGCCTGCTGGCGACGCTGGGGTTGGTGCCTGCCCAAGCCTCGTACCTCCACGGCAAGGTGCGTCGACGGCTCCCCAGGGTGGGCTGGCGGATGCTGCCCTTAATGGCGCTACTCCCCCGAGTGGCGCGCCCCGAGGAGCTACGGGACCCACACCCACTGCCGCTGGTGCGACGCCTGCTCAGAAGGCTAAGGCGATCCGTCTTGCGCCCAAGGAGTGTGGATACCTCGCCTCGGTCATCGTGGACGGCCATGTGGTCGCAGCCCCGCAAGTACCTGGGCGGCTACGCCTCGGACGACAAGCGCTTGCTGCGCGGCGACGCTGGCACGCTGCTGCACAGGCACACGCGCTGCAGTGGGTGGCCGCCCGAGCTGCGGCGGCCCAGCAAGATCCGTGAGATGGCGGGCAGGGCTGAGCTCGTGGAGGTGGAGTGCCTGCTGGAGCGCGTGCTGTGGCCTGCGCCCCGCGGCATCATCAAGCCGCCTCGGCCTCCTGGGCTCAGCTGGCTGGGCCAAGACGTAGGCGGCATGCTGCCGTCGGGCGACGTGTACCTGGACGGCTCCGCCTACGAGGGCGACTTCCAGCAGTGCACAAGCGTCGGCTGGGCTGCGGTGGTGCTGCAGGAGGACGCGGACGCCTTCCGCACTGGCATCTCGGGCACGCTGTGCGAGCCCTTCGCCGACATCAACGGCGGCGAGCTGGCCGCGCTCATCGGCACGCTGCGCCATGCCGTGCCGCCCGTCAGGGCCATCGTCGACTCCGACTTCGCGTTCAAGGGTGCGCTGGAGCACGGGCCGCTGCTCACGACGCGCTGGGGCTACGCGTGGGCCCACCTCTGGCGCGAGCTCTGGCGGCTTGTCGAGGACTTCGGGGGGATAGGGCCGCATGGCCTGACCCTCAAGAAGGTCCCTGCGCATGTCCCGCGACGCCGAGTGACCGACGACGGCGTCATCACCGCTCGCGACTGGATCGGCAACTGCATCGCTGACCAGGCCGCGAAGTGCGCGGCCGAGCGCGCGAGGATCGCGCCCGAGGACCGACAACGCCTGCAGTCGGCACGGGAGCTGGTCGAGGGCGTGGCCATGTGGGTCTCAGCTGTTGGGGCAGCCGCGGGCGGGGACGACGCCACCCACCGCGCGGCGAAGCCCAACAAGGCGGCCCCGCGAGCAGCGTTGCAGCCAGCGACTGCCAGGCTAGGCTGCGACCTCCGTGGGCCGCCTGGGGCGAGATGGTGCAGCAGGTGCCGCTGGCTGGAGCGCGCCAGCGAGCGCCCTGGCTCGATTGTGACGTCCGCCCTGGACCACAATAGGAGGCTGCGGGCACAGGGCGCGCTGGCGCACGTGATCGCGAAGGTCGAGCCGCAGGTCGAGGCCCAGATGCAACGCGAGATGCCGCTGCTGGCCTGCCTCGTCTGCGGAGCCACGGGTGCGGCGAGGAGCTCGTCCTTCGCCCGTGCCTGCGGGGAGCCAGGAGCAAACGGCAAGCTGGCGATTGCCCGGCTCGCCAAGGGTTTCGCGCCAGGCGCCGCGGGCCGTGTGGCCGTCAAGATCGTGCAGCTCGGCGACCACAGCGTCGTGGACGACGACGCGGAGCGCGTCGGCGGCGGCCTGGACGGGCCGCTGCCCTGAGGCGCGCGCGGGGGGAGGAGGCCCCACATCCCCGCGTGCGCCCTCGGCGGCGGCCACTGCTGCTGCAGTGCAGACTTCGTCGCGGTGCACCTCGGCGAGTTCGCGGCGGTCCTCCGAGGAGGCCGCGCCCGCGCGCGCGGGCGCCTGCGCGGCCGACATCCCGCGCAGATGCGTGCGCGCCCCCAGGCGCGGAGCGCCCACGAGGCGCCCGCGGGCACCCGCCGGGCGGGCGCCGGGCCGAACCCTGGACCCTGGCAGGCCCAGTAGGTGGCCCCCCAGCTTGGGATCCGCGCGGCACGCTCGCGCCGCCCAGGGCGCTCGCGCCGCCCAGGGTCGAGCGCCGCAGGCCCGGGGATGGGCCGAGGGCGAGCGAGCCGTCGCCCCGCAGGGGAGGCCCGTGCCGAGAAGCACCCTGCCTGCCTCCAGGGTCAGGTCGGGCGTGGCCCGCCACAGGAGGACCTCCTCCTCCTCCTCCTCCTCCTCCTCCTCCTCCTCCTCCTCCTCCTCCTCCTCCTCCTCCTCCCTCCTCCCTCCTCCTCCCTCCCTCTCCTCCTCTCCTCCTCCTCCTCCTCCCTCCTCCCTCCTCCTCCTCCCTCCTCCACCGCCTCCTCCTCCTCCTCCTCCTCCTCCTCCTCCTCCTCCTCCTCCTATTCAAAAACAGTTTAACAATAATATGGAGACGATTTTTCAATTCTTTGACCACTTTTAGAAGAACCCCCTGCCCCAGATAAGAAAGTAGCCCCCCTTAACCCCCTGAGTATTCATGATCCCCGTGTCAATAGGACTTGATGGTGGAGGGGCGGCGAGTCCGAACTTGATAATCCCCGGGGGAAGTTGCGAATCGAAGTTGTTGTCATCTTATGTTGACTAGCAGCATCGTCGAAAACGCTGAGCATGGTAATGGTGATCTCACCACTTCAGCTTTCGCAATCACGAACGTGTTGCAGGGCTTCGGGATTCCCACCAGCGCCCAGACTCGAGATCAGTCGAGTCAGTTTTGTGCCAAGATTTACAGGTCAGTGTACACGAGCGCCCAGACTAGAGATTTGTCGAGTCCGTTTTGTGTCAAGATTTCAAGGTCAGTGTACACGATCGCCCACTTTCGAGATCTGTCGAGCCAGTCTTTTGCCAAGATCTACAAGGTCAGTCTACACGAGCGCCCAGGAATATCATCATCATCCTCATCATTATCATCATCATCATCACCATCATCATCATCATCATCGTCATAATCATCATAATCATCATCCGTTTGGGAAATCGTCGATTACCCCGCCAGACCCCGAACTTCTCTTTCCCC